TGACACACGTTTATTTAGATGTCTTCACTGAGGACTGAGTCTCACCTGCTGAGTTCAGTGTGCATGCAAGAAGTGTTTTGTTGAAGGAAATGGGTTGCAACCAAAATGGTCAGTCATGTTCTCCTGTCTTAGATGCCAAAGTTTGTGCTGTCTTTCACAGATGTGAGATGAATCTGTGGGTTATAGACATGGGGAAGGACCTTCCATTTCCATCCTGCAACATCCTACAAAGCTTAGAAAACACAAGTTGTGTTTGTAATTAAAAAGAGCAGGATAACCACCAGATTGGGCAGGGGGCCAGTTTCCACAGAACATCTAGGTAACTTACTGTACAATACACAATTAAATGGAGAAAGAAATTGAAATTGAGGCATTGTGTGTATATGTAGATTTGTAGATATGGGCATGTGCATAAGTGCACGTGTGTATACGCATGTGCAAGAGTTGGCTTGCTTTGCTTTGAGAAGTTTAAAAATGAACTGCAAATAAAACATGGGAACATGGGAAACAGTAAAGCAACTGTTGGTAAGGAAAAATAATTTAGAAAAGAGTATCCTAAGAACATACATATACATATATATATATAAATGTTTCTTTAAAATATTAATTCCCATGAGTGAATCATCAGTTTCAGACATTTAGTATTTTTATCAGCTGCATTTTCTCAAAATGCCTGCTCTGGGCATTGTAACCTAACAAATCTTCTGTTTCCTTTCCTTAGATGCAAAGGACGTAGCCGACTGTGAGAATGAAGCCTTTTTCTCCTTGCATCAGCGCAGGGGAGCCATCAAACAGGCCAAAATCCATAATGTGAAGTGCCATGAGTTCACAGCCACTTTCTTTCCACAACCTACATTCTGCTCTGTCTGTCACGAATTTGTGTGGTAAGTCAAAATAGATCCATGCATTTTCCCCTTTTAACATGAGGGAGCAGCTCTGCTCCTTTGTTGAATATCTGTGCTCTTGTTGTCAGTAAGGGCAGCAGGACCTCAACCTTGGCATCATAAATGCAGGAATTGTTGCATGATTTCCAGGATGTAGTTCAGAGTTGTAATTCCAACTGTGAAAATTCCCTTCATTTTTAGTATATTTTTTATAAATATTTTTGGCTTTGACCTAATGTGCAGGCATCTGTAATCAGCTTACTTTGCTATTTAGATGTTGCAAAATTCAGTAGGTGAATGTGTACTGGAAAGGGTGTGAAAACCACGGTTGCCAGCACTTAGAGAGAATGAAGATACTTAGATTAGAGAAACTCTCTGAAGACTGATAAAAAACAAGACTGTTTTATTCCATTTCTTTCCTAAGTGTTTCTCTCCTTTCTAATGTGGAAGCTTTAAGAAAACTCAGAGTTAACCATTTCTGTCTTTATTTCAGGGGTCTGAATAAACAAGGCTACCAATGCAGGCGTAAGAATTTTTTTTTGTTGTTATCATCATTTACTTGATCCTTCCTTAAGAGATTTTTGCATTAATGCCACAACACACTCGTTCTTTCAGAATGTAATGCTGCCATTCACAAGAAGTGCATTGATAAAGTAATAGCCAAGTGTACAGGATCAGCAGTAAATAGCAGAGAAACAATGGTATGTATTACTACCTGGTTGCTTTTAAAACAACTGTCATTTAGATCTCTCCTACACATCTGTATAACTGCTTCAGCTGAAGTAAAGTATGTGACTGAACAACAAGTGATGTGATCTGATCTGCATCCTTTGGTTTTTGTATGCTCTGTGGTTCTATTAACTCCTATTTGTGATTTACTCAAATGCAGCCACTGAATAAGCAGACGTTGAATCAGGCCTGACATTTTTCTTATGTATGAAGCATAACTCAGGGGGAGGTTATGGGCAAGAGGTGGAAAATTCCCTAGAGGAAATTCTTCACTATCCTGTGTTAGGCAGGATATCACAATGAATTTTTAGAGCAGTACTTTAATATCCCAGTATATGTCACATGAGATTTTGAAACCATCTAGAGGAAGATCTAGCATCCCCATTATTAATTTATTTTTTCTTATATCAATTTGTAATAAAGCTTCTTTTTCATGGGCAAAGGCAGAACTTAAACTCTTGATAGGACCATTGCCTTCTTTCTCCTAACTGTGTTCTGCAGTTTTTTTTTTTTTCCAGTTCCTAATACTTGTTCTCTTTCTACAGTCTTTAGAGATGAGAATCATCTCATCTGTCTTCTCACGTCTTTAGTGTAGGTAATCACATCTAGCTTTGTCCTCTACTTTAACTCTCTATATACAAAAAGAAAAAAGAACAAAACAGGCTTTTCCAGAGAGTGATTAATAAAAACAAATGTAGACATCTTTTTCAGGATGAGATTAATCATTTTGGGAAGCACTCTTGTTTTTCCACTGAGCACTAGGGGCATCGGGGTGAGTAGCTGAGGTGCAAACAGCTATCTGATTGGATGAATCAAAACCAGGGATTAAACTACCCAGTCAAGAATAAAGTGGCAGTAAATTTTCCACATTCTGTGGTACAAATTTGAGGACTGTTTGGCATTTCATGTAGAACTGAAGTGAACAGAAGTGATTCACCAACATGGCTTTTCTGTTGCAGTTCCACAAGGAGAGGTTCAAGATTGACATGCCTCACCGCTTCAAAGTCTACAACTACAAGAGCCCAACGTTTTGTGATCACTGTGGCACGCTGCTCTGGGGCCTTGCACGGCAAGGACTGAAGTGTGATGGTGAGTTCCTGAGTTGAACATGGAAACAGGCTGTTGTCTTCAATCTTAAGAGCCAAATCTCATTTCTCTCTGAAATATGTTTGAGATGATATCGGGGTGGTGAAGGAGCAGTCAAGAGGACCATCCTTGGAGGAGGATCTGTAGAAGTACGTGTGGTCCATGAGGCTGAAGAGTCAGTTCTCAGAAGTACAAAAGAACAATTCAGTGCCTACTTCTCTTCATGTGGTTGGTCTCTACACTTGGCCAACAGCACTGCGTGTTCTTACCCTGCCTGATGCTGAACCCTTTACAGCTCAGCAGCCCTTTGTTGTCCTGACACCTCCGTTCTTTCTTTCAGCATGCTGCATGAATGTCCATCATAAGTGCCAGACAAAAGTAGCAAACCTTTGTGGAGTTAACCAGAAACTAATGGCAGAAGCTCTGGCATTGATAGGCAGCACTCAGCAGGTAAGTAAGCTATTGAGATCATAGAATCAGATGACTTGGAGAAGGGAAGATCAATTGCTCAATATTTAGCACAGTGCAAGAATTAAAGGCATTAAAGGGAACACTGTAGGTAGCAAGTTTTCATGGGTTCAGGTGGCCTACCTCCAATATTAATGGAAGAGAAAGCCACTCAGAATTCATAGAATAATTCATAGAATGGTTTAGGTTGGAAGGGACCATAAAGGCCATCTAGTTCTAACACCCCTGCCATGGGCAGGGACACCTTCCAATAGATAATATTGTCCAAAGCCCCATCCAGCCCAGCCTTAAACACTTCCAGAGATGGAGCATCCACTGTTTCTCTGGAACACGTTCCAGTTTCTCACCACCTTCACTGTAAAGAATTTCTTTCTAACATCTCATCTAAATTTACACTCTAGATCAGGATTCTGGGAGTGCTTCTTAGCACTTGAGTATCTTCAAACAGGGATAAAGTGTTTAGGTACCCCACCCATATTTTGGTTCCTCAGATATCCTAAGGCAACAACTTTATACACACAGCTGATGTTTTTCCATTTGTAACTTCCTGAGAGTGTATGTACCACATTTAATTCTATATCCTCATCTTTGTGCAATAGAGTTGCCAAACTTCCAACTAGGGTTTTTTTCCTGCTTTTTCTTCTCTATTTTCTATCTGCTCGCTCTCTGCAGCTCCTTGCCCTGTACCTTTGAGTCACCACTGAGAGGTGAAGAATGCATACACCATGTACTTTCCCTAAAATACCCCTTATTTCCAGAAGTTTAGATCATGGGAACTTCTGGAGGCATAGGTGGAGTTTTAGTATTTAAATAAACTTCAATGCTTTTCCATTTCCTGCTTCTGTTTCATCACTCCTGAATCCAGGCAAACTCTTATCCTCTACAGCACCAGAGGACAAGGAGTTTCTCAAAGTGACAGTCAGACAGTGTACAGGGATAAGCCTGCAGTACGTTCCAGCCTCCAGTGTTTTGACAGGTTTCCCTTCATGAAGAATTACTAGGAAGGAATATGTTAAAATGGCCTTTGTATGGTTAGATAGGGTCACAGACCACTCTGCAGAATAAAGTATCTTTATATTAGCTTTACAAATACCTGTTAACACCCACACACAAGATGCTTTGATGAAGCTTGTGGTCATTAAACCCCTAAGCAATGGGTACAGAGATGCTGTTTTCATAAGCAAAGACCTCTTCTAGATCTTGCTTCTATGACAGTCACACTCAAGAGGAAACTGTACAGGAACTCAGAACGTAACATTTGGCTCAAAAGTCATTTGCTGTTTTCTGTCATCCAGGCTCGCTCTCAGCGTGATACTGAACAGATATCCAGGGATGGACCTCTTGAAATTGGGTTCCCGGTTCTAGTGAGGGAGGTGACACCTCTTCAGGCAGTGCCAGCATCCACAACAGGAAAAAAAGGTAATTTACCCTAGTGGTACAGTACAGCAGCCTTTTTTAATCTTTTTACATAGTTAAATGGAGGTGGAAAGAATAGAAGGTGTGTTAGCCAACGAATCTTTTATGTTTCTTTCCCAGTTAGAGCAAGATACCTATTTTCTCACCTCTGGGATCTGTAACTTCTTCCAGCCACATCACTCAGGCTAAGCAGAGACCCTAGACATCAAAGATTCCGTTCCTCTGTTAGTATGCACTTTCCCCAAGTCTTCTCCAGCCTTTAGTGATATGCCAACCATTTCTCATCCATCTAGTCCCTAAACTCTCATTGTGACCCAGTACTTCAGCACACCTCATACCTCCATCAGCAATAATGTGTTTATTCTTCTCCTGGGACTCATAAACCATAATATATGGGATATTTAAAGAGAAACCAACCTTGAAAGAGGAGGTTCAGAGTTCCTTTGATCGTTATGGCCAATTCTCTTTCTGATCTCAGATTTTTAGGTAGGAGTTGATATCCAGTCCCTCTGTAAAACCACTGACAGATCTCCACTTTAGTCACCCAAAAATGATTAAGTTTTTGCTGCCCTATGTGCTACAGGAGCAGAGATTTTTCCTAAAATTTTTTTCCTAAATTTTTCCTAAATCTCTCTAAATGAGTAACGGGGGACAAGCATTGATAAGCAGACCTTGGACAAAGCTACTGAGGGCTCAGTGACCTGGTAAAAAAAACTGAAGTCCTGGAAAGACTCCTTGTTTATCTGCTTTGTGCTCAGATCAGAGAACTCTGGATTTTAGGATCACAGATGTCACCACCTTTCGTTAAACCTATGTGTCCCATACTGAAGTGAATTTCAGAAGTGCTCCACCTTCATGGTCTGTGGGGCACTGTTCTGAAACTGTTCTTTTTTGCAGACTCCCACAAACTTTAAAATACACCTAACAGAAAGGAGAGGGAAAAAAAGAGAGGTACAATTGAATTAATACTTAAACCAAGTAAGAGCTGGAGCAGTAGATCCTTAGCTCTAAACCTAACCAGAGATAGCCCCACCATCAATCTCCTTCTCAGTGCATAAAAAAACCAAACATCTATGTGTGGAGCTAATATCCTCAAACTACTCAGAAACCAACCCTAGCAAAATTCCAGATGGCTCTTGTTGAAGCAGAGCCATATTACACACCAGTGCTCCGGGTTTTATACCATACAGCACAAGCCTATCAAGCCTCAGAAGCTGATTTTCGTAGGATCATAGAATCACCAAGGTTGAAAAAGACTTCCAAGATCATCTAGTCCAGTCTTCCACCTACCACCAATATTTTCCCACTAAACCACATCCCTTAGTACAGCATTCAAATGTTTCTTGAACATTTTGTTCAAGATGATGATCATCTGCAGGGACAGTGACACAGCCACCTCCTTGGACAACCCATTCCAGCACTAGACCATTCCTTCAGAGAAGGGATTTTTCCTAATATCCAACCTGAGATTTTGGTACTGTCTATTCCATTTGCCCCCTTAGAGAAAAATTAACGGTGCCCTCATCTATGTTCATTTTCTGTGGGCTACAAGTAAAACTGAATGAATCAGTGTGAACTAGTAAAGCCCAGATTATTCACATCTGGTTAACGTGTGAGTCTATCTGATGATTAGTGTTCTTGTTCAGTAACTTAGGACAGCACAGCAAGTACAGCAAGTACATGCATTTGAGTGAGCGGGATAAATCCAGTAAGGGACAAGAATTTCACAAACATCCAAGGAAATGAAGCATTGAAGAAACTGCTAATAATTCCTCTCCAGGACAGCTGGAATATTTCAGTAAGTCTCCATAACCAGAGCATAAACCCAATGTGAAGATGCTGTCCCATTTGTTTCACACACTAGTTTTGCCAAGGATCTTCAACAGGTCTCAGAAGAAATGGGATCCTATCATAACAGCAACCAGCAAGAAGGAATGAAGAACAAGGGCTGCCAGAAATGAAAGATTTGGTCATGTTTTGCTACCATGAAGCAGGACAGATGAAGGATTTCATAAAGTGGGAATAATGCTACTGAAGAAGATGGAGTTATGCTGGAGCAAAATTTTTTCTGGAGAGAAAGCTGTATGCAAGCAGAGACAATCTGCTCACTTGATCTGTCCACCACATTTCCATATATCTGAAAAGACCTTTGTAGAACTATTCAAAATAGTGCATTAGAGTTCAGGGGATTTTCTCCTTACTTCCCAAGATTTATTTGAATGCTTTGATGTGTATTTCAGAGCCACAGGGCATCTCCTGGGAGACTCCAGTGGAGGGCACGATGAAGGGAGAGTCTCTAATAGAGACAGACTTGGGAGGAAAACAGCTCCTGGAGCAGCAAGAGGACCAAGTGCATTTAAAACTAACCATTGAAGATTTTGTCCTGCACAAGATGTTGGGAAAAGGCAGCTTTGGTAAGGTAAGCATTAAGAGGCTGAGATCTCTTTGCTGTTCCTCTTCATTCAGCAATGTCCATCAGATTGGCTTAGTCATCTTGGCAGGAGGCAGAATCTTTAGATGAAAAGGTGAGTGTGGATCACCTCCCTTCTCCAGAGCAGCAAGTCCAGCTGGGAATGCTAACTGCTTTTTCCCATCTCTGATCTGTGCTGGAGCATAAAGTAAATTTTACAACAGCCAAGAATTTGTGCTTTTGAATCAAGGGCCACCTGTTTTCAGTAGATTCATTAATCTTGATGAATGGTCAATTGTTCCTCCTTCATGCAGATGTCTCCTGGAAGTGGATTCATGTTATTCACTGCCAACACAGAACATGAAGTAATTTCAGAGGACCTCTCCATTGTGTTTTTGCAGTCAGTAGGGAGAATAATTGGGTATCACATTACTTAGATCTCAAACCTCTCCAAGGTGGAAACTGCCTGAAAGAAATCCTGCTTTTTGCTAAATGAGCTAGAGCAATTGCTGCAACCATATCTTAAACTGAGGAAATATCTGTTGTGTTGACTTTGCATATATGAAAGCACTTGGCATGTCTGCACTTTGTATATGAAGCAGAGCTGAGACATGTGAGTCAAAACTAAGCCACAAAACTTCAAACTGCACAGCCCAGATGAGGGTTACTTAGGGGACTGTCAAGTTGAGAAGCCAAGAATCTGCATTACTCTGCCATGCATTATGTGGACATGGAGGGGAAGGACTAGTTTGTGCCTTTCTGCGGCAAACTTCTCCCACAAGTTTCCCATGCAGGTATCACTCCTGGTGCTGTCATTTATTTGGAGTGACATTCATTTGTCCACAGAGAGAACAAGATATGCAGATCTCCATGGTTGGAAGACTTCTCCACTTCTGCGTGGACCTAGGGAGACTGAGGGCCACAGGCACGAGGAATCTCCCCCTGCATCAAGTCTAACAATCCCCTACCTGTGTCTTGGGAGTCACACTTATATTGTGCTTTCTGATTTCCTTGGAAAAGCAATGCCCTGCACAGAACTGAGAGTTAAAAGGGTCCCTGCAGCATCAACACTGTTAGCATTTCTGGTCATTCACTGTAGAGACAGAAGGAGGCTCTAGGCTCTGTATAGTGCTACAGAGTGAAATAGAAAGGGTAAATAAAACCTTTGTCAGGGTCAAAATACATCTGAGCTAATTCAGCAAATAGTGTCTGGTAGTGAACTTCAAAGGGTTCTTTGATGAGTCGTAGGTATTTATTCATGGGAATAGAAAATAGTAAAATTACTATGGGGAATGATGTTGATTGTCTGTCAACACAAAGATCACAACTGGCACTGCTTTCCAGCAGAGGTTGTTTCGCTTGATGGTCTCTAGAATCCAATTTTCTACTGCTTTACATCTGAGTTTCCCTACCCATAACAACAGAGGTCCTAAACTCCTTTGCAGTGTGTTTTACTTTTCTCAGAGGAGTCCTGTAGAAGCACAGGGCACCTGGGCTGTCTGCTTACATGTCCTGCTGACAGGGAGGAAGGAGATGTCATCAGTCTAACTACTACTGCTGGACATCAGTTTATACCAATTGAGGATCTGGTGACATTTGCATTTCACATGCTGACAATGCAATATTCTGTGATTTGTTACTTTAAGTCAGAAAACAGGAAATGTGTTTCATGAGCATTTGCATAGTGTTGGTTTCTGTTGTCAGAAGTGCTCAGCTCTCTGACATGTCCTGTCCATATGAGCATGTAGCTCATGTTCTTGTAATTACCTGTTACTCATCTTTCCTCAGAGTTCAGCCTCATAAAATTGTTCTGGATGTGGGGATCAAATTCAAAGTCTACACGGTCTTCATGACAGAATCAGAACTTAAACAGCAACTTCTTAAGGTCTACATTTATGAATTCCCCAGAGCCACTTTCCCATGCAAAACTTTCTGCTTGGTGCTGCATTTCTGCCCATCTTGCTCAGCTTCCATGGCTGTTGTTGCGAGCTCAGAGAGAAAGTTGGTTTTTCTGAGCAGCCATTTCCATTCTAGGTGTTCCTTGCTGAGCTGAAGAACACAGACCAGTATTTTGCTGTGAAAGCCCTGAAGAAGGATGTGGTCCTTATGGATGATGATGTTGAATGTACGATGGTGGAGAAGAGAGTCCTCTCTTTAGCTTGGGAGCACCCGTTCCTGACTCATGTCTTCTGTACATTTCAAACCAAGGTAAGACAAGGATCTGTTCACATTTCCTCCATAGACTGAGGGTACTTTGCAGAGATCATACTCCAAACCAAAACTCAAGTCACATTGAATATATAAATCTGTCTGGCCCTAAATGGCAGTGAACCACAAACTGACGGCATTCATGTTTTCACCCTTCAGGGACTGATTTTGAGGAGGACAGCAGGTCCTGGAAATTGATTCTTGCCTTAAGAGAGCAGGAATTAATCCCCTTTATTTTTCTAGATTTTACTGGCTTGGCTGCTGCTGACAGCCTTTACCTGCGTGGCCCATGGAACTGGGTGACATATTCCCCATCCACAGTGCAGGGCAGATGGAGATTTTATTCACAGCCGCTCTCTGCACAGCTGAGTTTCCAGCCAGATTTCCATTTAAATGAGAGTACTGTAATTAAAAGGATCCAGCCAAAGAAATTGCACAAATTAGAACAGAGATAAGTTATTTGAAAAGAAAAAGCACTGTGGTGCTGTTGTGTGTATTTTCTGTTTTTGTTGTTTCTTTTTAAATATCCGGCTCTTGGTTTTCTGCCAGAGATGCTTATGTTGGATTTTATAGATAAAAATCTTCATTCAAGTGTTAGAAGTATAAGTCAAAAGAACTACCTCCCCCAAAATAAAATTTGTGATGGATACTAGACAACATAAGGAGGATATTCATAAACTTTTGCATAGCTTGGAGATAACTGACTACACATGTGTAATGAACAGAGAAAACATTATGTCCATTTTATTTTATTCATGCATTTATACACAGAAGCTGACATTACTAAAACAGAAGTTTAAATTGGGAGCATAACTCATTGCACAGATAGACTTTTTCCAGAAAACAGGTACACTTAAGTGCAGAAGGGATGTTCCAAGATTTGCACTTGGGCTAAAGGCCATGGCCACCATTGATATTTGTGATACATTCTGCTTCAAGCCAACTTGAAGAAATTGCCCTCCAGCTTTTTCA